ATTAATTGTTTTCCATTTATTTTTATTAAAGACTAGTTAAGACCAATTATTTTAGTAGATTTAGCCATTACTCTGAATTCACCTTGCCCAATGTCATGATAAATTCCTTGGCTTGAAGTATTTTTAAGGAGGACAATGAGGTTATATTTCTTATTTCAACTTCCCACAGCCTCGTCCAAAGATACTAACTTGCAAGGGCTTCCTAAATCATATTTGAAGCTAAGCCTAGAGGACACAGAAATTTGTAAGAACCTCTAGATCAGTGACTACCAACCCTGGAGACATATTAGAATCCGCTGGCCAACTTTAAAAAATAATGATGCACAGATCCCACTCCCCAGAGATTCTGATTTCGCTGGTCTGAATTGGGGCCTTGTCCTTAGTACCCTTTTAAAACACCTCAAATGGAATCTAACGTGCAGCCAGCATTTAGAAACACAGCTTGGGTTTACCAGAACATCACTCACAAATAACATGTATTGTTTGTGCCCATATATGGCAGACACCAATGTCACGCAGGCAGCAATCCAGCCAGCTTGAGTAAACTCAAGGAAACAGTGACCAGCTGCCTAATATTGCAGACCTTCTAACTCCCTGGTCAAGACTGCTTTGAAATGAATAGTGTTTTGTCTCTGATAGATTTCTTTTCTGCCACTGGTAGGTTTTCCATGAATGTTTCTTAAACCCCTGCCACAATAGTGGAACCTGCCAACAACTTGGGCGTGGTTACGTCTGTCTCTGTCCATCTGGATATACAGGTAACATAGAGGAATGCAAATTTTAATGGATTTTTCATATGAAATCATTGTGACTTGTGGTATCAAACTTCGGAATAAACCCTGTAAGATACATTAGACTGTATAAAAAGCACAAAAATTTGGTTGAACAAGATAAACAGAAAACAATATACATGTCTTACGCATGACTGTTTTCTTTGGGCACTTTGGAAGAAAAATAAAGAATCATTTTCTCTGTGAAAAAGTCACATCATAACACAATTTAACTTGGAATATGGTTCTGGAGGCCATGTCCAGGGTTTCATTATAACACAAATTAAATGCATGGCACTCAACATAGAACAGATTGTCTAGCATAAACGTTTTTAAACAAGCACCAGGTTCTCTCATTTGCTTCACACTAGTGGAATAGCTATGTGAATAGCTATGATTTGTTGCTTTGTTTTCTGGAAGCTATGCATAGAAAAACAATATGGCTTTGGACTTCATTATGTAAGAATTATGTTTTCTTGCAGTGTGGTTTATATTCCAGTTCAATGCAAAAATAAAATTTTTGAGGGGAAATGAACTCTATAT